TGTGACAAGGATCCTGGACACTGTGACAAGGATCCTGGACACCTTCACTTTGGAGGGTCTTCCATGGAGCCTTTATGAAGTGAGTGGAGTGCTGCAACAAATTTTTTTAAAGTCAGAGGATTGTACTTTGAAGGAGATTAGAGTTTTGTACTTGTTTGAAATTAATAAAAGGTTTTCTGAAAAACTTCTGAAATACACCTTGTATAGTATGAACTGAAGTTCCATAGAAACAATCTTAAAATCATTTTCTTATCACATACTTTGTTCATTTTTTATGGATTTTTCTTTTCCATTAAAAGGAAATAGGGGAAACTGGTTTCCCCAAGGAAGATGATAATCAAATTCTTATTTGTTTTTATAAAAAAAAAAAAAAAAATGAGAATAGTTAATATCACTTTATTGATCTTGAACACACTGAAACCAACTTCTACTGAAATCTTCCCTCTCCTTTGTTGTCTGCAATTGATATATATATATATATATATATATATATATATATATATATATATATATATATATATGAAAAAAAAAAAAAAAAACAAAAAAAAAACAACCTTACCAGAGTAGCCAACTGAGTGAGGACCAATTTTTCATTTAACAGGTCAGAATCATTACTAAAAAAGCAACCAATATTAACTCTGCCCAGTACATTATGCATTTGGCCTATATCCATTTGTCTGCCAGTAACCAAAATATCTTTGATAATAATAGGATTACTGTTAAACTTTCTGTAGACATTTGTACTTCCTCTAAAAATATTCAGTGCATGCAAAAGTTCTCAGTAGCCTCTTTTAAACCCTAGAAACTGAACCAATAGAGAAACCATTAAAATAATTAATAAACTAAAAAGTCACAACTTAAAAAAAGTTCTATGTTGCTAGACAGCAAAAAAAAAAAAAAAAATTCTGCTGAAGGTAAAAAAGAGTTTTAAACAGCAATTAAAACTTATTTTAAGTGTTAAAATTGAATTATTTCATCTATAAAATAAAGAAAACAAATCCACTGCCAATGGTCATCATGATGAAATTTAAAAGATACAAACAGCATAAATGTATTTAAACAATCCCCACACAGCTCAATTAAACCCAATTGGTTATGGAAATTTATTCTCAAGTTAAAAATGTGCTTCATTTTTTTGCAAGATCATTGATTTATGCTTAAAAAGGCTAACAGATTATAAAATTTCATGCCTTATATTTGCTAAATAACTTATATACAAAGTATTTTAATTTTTGAACAAAAGTAGCAACATATATTTGTTGGAATATAAAACTGTCCACACCCACTAAAATAAAAAAAAATATGGTTGGTTAATATCAATTTTCATCTGCTGCATTCATATTCACTTGGGAAAGTTATGATTTCATCTACCTACCAGCTATGGGTTAAATAACAGAGCAGATGAGACTCAAGCATTGGATGCTAGCCAAATGGAAAACTGAATTCAAAACCATAGAGAAAGCAGCAAGAAACCACCCCATTATATTAATTCAGATTTGAAAATGAAACTATTGATAGCCATAACCACATATCCTGAAGTGGCAGAGTTTAATTTATTTTTGAATATATATATATATATATATATATACACACACACACACAGAGAGAGAGAGAAAACTTAATGCATCATCAAATACATGATAGCATACAGAGCAATATGATATACATGAAGGAATTCTACTTGGATTATCCTTTCCACTTATGGATTTGATTATATATAATGTTGAGGTAAAGAAAAGACTGTCAACTTATTGTAGCAACAGCAATAGATTTCTTGTTTCTCAGCCGCAACACTTGTAGCCAAATCACAGTTCACACGATAGTCCAACGTAACAGTCGGACACAAACCCCAGAGACGACAAAACGGGGACACAAACCCCAGAGACGACAAAACAAAAACCCCAGGGGACAAAACAAAAACCCCAGAGATGACAAAACGGGACACAAACCCCAGAGACGACAAAACGGGGACACAAACCCCAGAGACGACAAAACGGGGACACAAACCCCAGAGACGACAAAACGGGGACACAAACCCCAGAGACGACAAAACGGGGACACAAACCCCAGAGACGACAAAACGGGGACACAAACCCCAGAGACGACAAAACGGGGACACAAATCCAACATTCACTTCTCGCCAACAACAACGCGTGTCTCTCACAGCTCAAAAAAATCATCTTTTTATAAGCGAAAAACAACAACTTCTGTTCACCGAGAGAATTTTCTGATTGGTCATGCCATTCAGGAGAGGGAAGAACATTAGCATAGCTTCTAGTCATTGATGTAGATTATTGCCGACTACTTTTTGGTAATTTTTCTTCGGCAGATCGCACACAAAACACAAACTTTTTTCGGGGTACCTGATTATCTCTTTCACTACACTCCTCCCTGTCACATAAGTGACACTCATGGGCGGGCCTCTTTATTCTTAAGCTTCTCCGGAGCAGGGTGACTGTGGGAGGAGATTGTGTGTTATGTTCTGAGGATTCTTCTGATC